AAAAAAAAAAAAAAAAAAAAAAAAGGAACCACCAGTACATCCAAGCCCCTTTTGTACGAGGCAGATTCCCCCTGCGCACCAAGCTTTGCCGAAATGCCGGCGTGGCGTTTTCATTTTCGTATGGCTGGCAGCGGTCCGGTTGGCCCGAGCCTCCAAGTTTTTCGGAGAGTGCCTCTCGCTCGTTGTTCTCAAGTTACCTGGGGCCATGTACTGGTGGTCTAGCATAGTATTCGGACGGGTTTGACGAAAACTTTTCCAGAGCAGCCTTGCACTTCGTTCTTCGACATGACGGATTACTCTTGGCTGCATTTTCTCTCATCTTTAGTGGTGCGTTCACTGCATTGGCTTTCTCATAATTTCCATCGACGAGATTCATCCTGTTTGTTCCAACGAAACATACAGCTGCCATAATATACGTAGTCTGACGTACCTCATACGAAGCAGGCTCGGCAAACAGAGTCGGCGAAAAGTTATCTTCCAATCCGCTTCCTGCCTCTCTGACTCCCGATCCATCACTACATTCCAGGCAGCCCTTAGCAGGATTGAGGGAACAGCTTGGGCCCAGTAAATTCAGGTTCCCGGAGACTTGGGAAGCCATGTCCTTACCCCTGAGTGCAGTGCCATCTTCCGCCAATCCCTCTTCCAACATATCGCCACCATCCGCACCGGTGAATGACATCCCATCAGCTTTTGGGCCCAGGGATGATACTGGGGGTGTTGAACACGCCCATCCTTCTTTGTTGCTCATGCTTTCTGAGCCAGATGGAGTCGAAACCATAGTTCCTTGACTATCATCTGAGATACCAGAATTTTGCCCATCAGAACTGCCTGCCCTACTGGCAGTGCTGTCATCAGCTTCAGTCCTCAATGCCCTGGGGATTGCAATGTCAGCAGCAAGTGTGGGGTTTGCCTTGGTATTTGCTTCCAACCTGAAGGCAGCTTGAATCCACCGCCTGCGAAAACAGGAAGACACGGTTTCTCAGCCATGGATAGATTCGTTCCAAATGCGCAAAAGACACAAAAAAGAAGGAAGGGAAGGAAGACAGGATGAACACGCAGACAGAGGACAGGAGGGAGGGATGGAGGGATGGAGGGACAGAAGGACAGAGGGATAGAGGAGATTCGGAAAGGGAGCTGAGGGAGGCACGGTGGCAGAAAGGCAGGAGGAGGGAGGAGCGAGGAAGAAGGGAAGGAGCGAGGGAAGAAGGGAAGGAGCGAGGGAAGAAGCAAAGGTGAGAGGGAGGAAGGGATGAAAGGAGAAAGGGACAGAGGGAGGGACGGAGTGACGAAGGAAGTGAGGGAACAGGAAAGTGAGCAACGGGGGAAGGAGGGAGGACGCAGGAGGAAGAAGGGAGGAGCGAGGGGGGACGCAGGGACAGAGGGAAGGAATGAGTTTTCCCAAACTCCTAAAAAAGCGGCGGCCGGGCCCTATGACGGCTGCCATTGATAAATCTGATCGGCACCCGTCATTTCGTTTCGGCCTCCTAAAAGGGCGGAGGCCCACCTGAGGCCACTATTTTCCCTTTCGGCAAAGGTACTAGTGGTTTAAGGAGATGATTGACGCGGGCTACGATTAAAGTTGTTTCTTTCACCACAGTTAGGTGATGGTTAACGTTGTTTTCTGACAAGCGTTAGGGAGATGATTAGCGTTGTTTCTGACCATGGTTAGGCGATTATTAAAGTCGCTTCTGATCAGGGTCTGCGTGATGATTTTGAAAGTTACAAACGGAATCACATTCCATTCCCGTTTCTGGTTGCTTGCTTTCCTCGGTGCATGGAGCCCTGTTAACTTTCCTCAGTGCTTTCATCAGTGCTTGCTTGCTTTCCCCAAAAATGATACACCTGGTCCCCTCAAAGACTCGAGAAACTTTACAGCTGTCCCACATACCCCAAAAATGGTACAGCTGGTCCCCCAAACATCGTACAGGCGGTCCCAGAGACCCCCAAGATGGTACAAGTGGACCCAACAAGTGCCAACACCCACTGGGGCAGACTGGCTGGTCTTCTTGGGGCTGAACTTTCACCCCAGTCCACTAAGTCGTTTGGTTGAGTGTTTGCCTCCTGATCGGGAGGTCGCGCGTTCGATCCTTGTGGTCAGATCGTGATGAGTCTATGTTCGCATATGACTAGCATAGCAACCTGCAGTGCGATTGTACACTGTGTGGTGGCTGCGTCGACACCTGTGTTGGGTGTGCGTGACCAGGTATACCGGGTCGCAGGGAAAAACGAGGACCTTCCTGGGTTGGGGTTAAATGCTCATCTTGGGGCTTAACTTTCACCCAGTCCACATCTTGGGGCTTAACTTTCACCCAGTCCACATCTTGGGGCTTAACTTTCACCCAGTCCACTTAGCCATTTGATTGAGTGTTTGCCTCCTGATCAGGAGGTCGTGCGTTCGATCCTTGTGGTTGGCTCGTGATGAGTCTATGTTCACAGACTGCCTGGTCCCCCAGACATCCCCCCCACCCTGCCAAAAAAAAAGGGGTCTGCGGCCCCCTCTGAACAGAGGAGGTTGGTTGGTGTCAGCCTGCCGAGAGCAGCCTTCAAACAACAAACTCCCTGTGAATATGCAAATTCAAATTTATTATTTAATTATATTATATAATTATATTCAGGGTAACCGGGGTTCGGGACGGGACGAACGCCCGAACCCGAACGCCCGAATGTACAAGACCCCTTGGGGATGCGTTCGGCCGTTCGGGCCGATTGCGGACCAAAAAAAAAAAAAAAAAAAAAATCAAAAAAATACGAAAAAAAGATATGTTATGAAGAAAAATAAAATAAACAGCATTTGCCTGAGAATTACATCCAAATTCCTTACTGCAAGGAAGATGAGCATTAGCGAACTTCAGCAATCATACAGCATCATACATATGAGTCCAGATAGTCTTGACCTCGAACCACAGCAGAATTGCATCACGAGATACACCAATAAGAACACACCAAGAGTTCAAAATTGACAACGCTGAAGTAGTCCCATCATCATCAACTACGAACCAGAGTTGATATCCTATTGGCGCTCGGCGCCCAGACTACATGTGGCAGATCCTATCTAGCCTATACTACGAAGCAGAATGATGACATCAACAGCGTTCCCGAAGTACGAGCATATGGCGACCAATGTCGCCCGCTTCAGCACCAGGTATRTCTTGCGTTACACTCACAACCCCGATCCACACCGCACAGATGCCACTAGCACCCAAGGACCACCCTGCGCTTCACCCAGCATACAGCAGCGCAGCTGGGCTATGGCTGCGTGCGCCCTCCCTACACGCCCGTGAGAGCGTGAGTGCCAGCCAGCCTGCAGATAGCGCACCAGCGCTTGCGCAGCATGCAGCCAGCACCCGAATGCCGAATGAGAGGCAGGCCCTTCCCTATATCGAAGTGGCCTGCCTGCGTCCAGTCCAGGAAGCTTCCAGTAGGCCCCGGTAGCCTGAGGCCCAGTCACGAGGAAAGCAGGCCTTGGGCCTGAAGTGGTTGCATGCGCYCAAYTGCTTTCGGCCTGTGTTCGGCCCRGTACCTGAATCCAGCCCAAGGCCTGTTCTTCGTACATTCACACAGGCGGCCCAGGGCCTGGGTTCATTCAACCAACTGGCGCTGCGCAACTGCCTGAATTTTCCCCAATTCGGGGTACCCTGAAAAACGAGGCCTGAAGGGCCTGTCGTGCCTGCCTTCACTTAGGGCGGCCGACCTTGCTGCAATTAGGGCCCCGTAGGGGCTAAGTGGGCGTAGCCTCGCATTCCCTCATCCATATCTTCGTCAGTCCTCTGGGAAGATCAATCCTGAGCCATCTGGCGCTTTCCTTTCAATACATCCTTCTCATAGCGGGCAACGATTTGAGGAGCGGTCTGCATCAATTCCTCCCGAGTAAACCAGCGGTCCTCTTTTGGATCCGTGTGATGTCTGAAGTGGACACGAAACTGCAGTTTTGGCTTTGGAGGATGTCCCCTTCCTGGAGGCTTCTGAACGGGCATCTCCCTGTGGTCGACGATATCATCGATGTCGACTTCTCCGTCCATGGTTGGAGGCAGCATTGACCGACGGGAGGGAAACTGATCAGTTTCTTCGGACGCAGCGAGCTTAGAGGCGTGAAAGACAGGGTGAGTTCTGAGATGACCAGGGATACGGATGACATATGATGGACCATCAGGATCTGTCCCTACTACATCTAGAACTTCCCAAGGTCCAAAGTACTGAGGCATGAGTTTGCGGGATATCCCGAACTCCTGTCCCAGTTTTGAAGACTTAACCCAGACTCTGTCCCCAACCTGAAATGTAGAAGGGTGGCGGTGTCTATTCTCAGACTCTATCATTGCTGCCTGCGCCTTCTGCATGTTCTCTACAGCCTCCTGCATCTTCTGTTCATATCTATAGGCAAACTCCAAAGTGCCCGGTGTAGCAGTTGGCTGGTTGTCGGGAAGTAGGAAGTCTAAGGGCAGTCTAGGCTTGAAGGTCAGTTGTAGACTGTTAGGACTCACCCCGGTAGCACTGTGTACAGCGTTCTTATATAGACTGGCGACTAGAGCAAGTTTTTCGTCCCAGTTTACCTGGTTGGGCTTGATGTAGTGCCTCAACAGGTGTTGCACAGCGCGGTTCATTTGTTCATCCTGGCCATTAGCTTCTGGATGATTTCCAGAGGTCATCTGCAGTTGAGTTCCTTGTTCAGCTGCAGCGGCCTTCCACAATTCACTCGTGAACCTGACGTCCCTGCCACTGACTATAGACTTCGGCAGTCCAAAGTCTCTAACCCAGTTCTCTTTAAATAGCCTGATCACATACTCGGTCTTTGCTGTTTCTGGCATAGCTATTAATCTAGCAAACTTACTAAACCTATCCACGATGACAAAGATCTGTCTCATCCCACTCTTGCTGGTGACCAGCGTATCCATGAAGTCCATGGACAAACTTTCACCCGGCCTTTCCGGAATCGGAAGGGGCTTGAGCAGCCCAAGAGGAGCCTGAGTACGGGGCTTGTCTCTTTGGCAAACTTGACAAGTTTCCACGTACAGCTGTGCATCTTTCATCAT